CCCACGACTAGTTATGACTTCCAAACTACTTCAGAGAGAGAGAGAGAGAGAGAGAGAGAGCAGTTTGTGTCTAGAGTGCTAAATCTTTTTGTTCTTTCATTGGTTTTTATGTGAAACAGGTCAGGTCTTTGTATCTCAAGAGTACTATGGGGAAGGCTCATCCGCTATTTTAAGTGGGTTTTTTTTTTGGAGCTTCGTTTTTTGGATTCATTCAGAGTCAAAAGGAAAGGAAACATTACATGTTTGTTGAAGTCGTTACCATGTTCTCTCTTTTCATCTTCTTAGTAACAATGAGATTGGACTTGCTTGCTCCGAAGCTTTAACATTTTTGATTCTAGGGTTTATTGCCATGTTGGACAATGAGGACTCCCTATTTTGTTTTGTTTTTCTTGTTTTATATGATAGTTTCAAATCTCTCATTCTCTCTCTCACTCTCAATTTTTTTGATTTCAGTGATTTAAAAAATATCGGTTTGGCATGAAATTACCCGGTCAGACCCACAATAAAACGGTGATTCTCTATCCAAACTGCCTATTTTCATTATCAGCCCCTCTTTCACACAATTTCCAATGTAATTTGAACATCAGTAATATCCATTGCTTTTGGGGGATACTATTGTCCACCTTGAAATTTCATTCTATTGGATAAGCCGAAAGCGCATGGATTACCCAATGGATAAGGTAACCTTATGGACTCTGTACCCCGGCTTGATACCCCCTCCTACTCTGCCTTCTCTCTCTAAATCAAAATCTCTATGAATTCCACTCTTTCCCCATTCCCCGTCTCGAAATCAAAATCCATATGAATTTCACTCGCCCAACATTGTACCCCCCGGCAATCAAGACCCCATTTCCCAAAAACCCGCGCATCTTCCACCATCCATCTTCTCTCTTAACTGCCCAACTCGCTTCTCTCTCTAGAAAACTCCATCCTTCCTCTCTTGTCACCCCACTGAAATCTCTCTCTAAAAGCCCCAGTTCACGACTGAGTTTGCGAACAAAATGCACCATAGCAGACCAACAGTTGGCCCAGCCAAAAGAGACTGGAGTGGTCATAGTGGGTGCAGGCCTTGCAGGCTTAGCAGCCGCATTGAGGCTCAATTCTTCCCAAATTCCCTTCCTACTTTTTGAAGCCTCCGATTCGGTTGGTGGTCGAGTTCGAACAGATTCAGTTGACGGTTTTCTTCTTGATCGGGGTTTTCAAATCTTCATTACTGCTTATCCAGAAGCCCAAAAATTGTTAGATTATGAGTCTTTGAACCTACAAAAGTTCTATTCAGGTGCCCTTGTCTACTACAATGGAGGTTTCCATAGGGTTTCAGACCCTTTAAGACATTTTTGGGACTCTTTGGGTACGATAACCAACCCAATAGGCTCGATCACGGATAAGGTTTTGATAGGATTGTCAAGGCTTAAGGCTGCGGCTTCCTCTTTCGAAGATTTGCTCGTAGCTCCTGAGTCTTCCACTAGAGAGAGGCTCTTGAGAGATGGGTTCTCTTCCTCGATCATCGGTCGTTTTTTTGTGCCATTTTTGGGTGGGATTTTCTTTGATGCAAAGCTTGATACAACCTCCAGGCTCTATGACTTTGTGTTTAAATCTCTCGCTCTGGGGTCCAACACCCTTCCTTCAAAAGGGATTGGGGCAATTCCTGATCAATTAGCAAGTCGGCTACCTGACTTCTGTTTAAAACTGAATTCGAAGGTCACCAAACTCAATTCTGATCTGTCGACTGTGGAATTAGAGAATGGAGAAGTTTTCCGAGGCAAATTCGGGTTAATTTTGGGCGTTGAGGAGCCTGAAGCCAAGAGACTCCTAGAGACAGAGGAGGCAGCACTGGCAAATGCGAAGGTGAAGCCTTGCCGGAGTACAGTTTGCTTATACTTTGGTGCAGATGATGCACCTATCAAGGAGCCCATATTGATACTAAATGGGTCAGGGAAGGGAATAGTTAATAACATGTTCTTTGCCACTAATGTCGCTTCCTCCTATGGGCCAAAGGGGAAGACCTTAGTGTCAGTTTCTTTAGTTGGGTCTTATGAAAGTTGGTCTGATGAGGAGTTACAGAACGCAGTGAGAGAGGAGATGGGGACATGGTTTGCGGGCTCTGTGGTGAAGGCGTGGAACCATTTGAGGACATATAGAATTGGGTTTGCTCAACCAAACCAGATTCCACCAACAAACCTTAGAAAGGACCCGAGAGTGGGTCCGGGGGTCTATGCATGTGGGGATTATCGGGACTCAGCAACCTTCGATGGGGCTCTGGTATCTGGGAGGAGAGCAGCTGAGGCTTTAATAGAGGACAATGGCTGGTAGGTTCATGAGAGCTTTTGTGGTTCTTGGATGTGTTGATGGATCATGGTGGTTTTCCTTTCAGAGTTTCTCTCTCTTCCCATGAAGGAGTGCACAATTCTTCCAATGAATCATGCAATCCTCTTTGCTTTGGGATAAAATAGAAGGCCATGTTGAGTTAAATTTATTTAGTATCAATATATTTTATGGATCCTGTTTCCATGTGGCCAAGCCTGCATAATGCGGGCCTATTAATAAATCAATTTTTGAGATGGATTTTAGGATTTAATTTTTAAGGACATGTAATGTCTAATATGGAGACTATGAATATGAAAAAATAAATAAATTTTAAAAACTAAAATGACAATTCTAGTAAAAAGACATTCGGACCGTTAGTTTCCATTGTTTTTAGATGGAACACCTACTTGCATGGATGCTTTACACTTTCTGGACCGCATATATAGAAATGTGGTCCAGCCCGCATGAAACAATTTTTTATATTTTATTGTACATCAACCCCAAATAGTTGAGAAAAGACTATGATGATGATACTTTGTTGTACGCAATTTGGTGATTAATGAAGGAAAGTGATTCTGTGGCCGAAATTCTGCACATCCAATGGGAGTTTTATCAGTGAACTCCAAGCATATTCGTGTTTTAATTTGAGTTCTCAAAAGGATGTAGAAGTTGCAGAGTGCATCAGCAGAATCCATTTGGCCCTCGTTGTGAAGTGGGCATCACCAATTTGTGAACCCTTTGAAGGTTGCTGTTATATCTCACACCAATAATGGGCACGAACCCTTAATTCATTCTTCAACTATTAACCGATGTGAGAGAGAGAGAGACTAGATTTGGCCAAGAGCAATTTATGAGTCCCTAATTGATTGTTATAAGTCAGACCTTCAACTATCAACCGATGCTTATTCAGACATAACTGGGCAACACCAATTTATGAACCCTTAACCAATTTATGAACCCTTAGTTGATTGTTAGAAGTCGGACATTCAACTATCAGCCGAGACTCATTGAGTGGGTGAGTGAGTGTGAGAGAGAGAGATGGGGGAGGGGGTTGGGGATGGGAGAAATATTGATTTGGACATACCGCTCTATTTTACTTTTTTTTTTTTTGTCTTTTTTTTAATTGCTTCTTTCTTTTTTTTGTCTTTTTTTTCTTTTTTTTTTTTTTTTGTAAATTACTCAAGTCCGACGGCTTCAACATGGAACCAAATTTGAAAAATAAAATAAAAAAATTGAGGCTATTTTTCTAACATTGAACCGCCGCATATTCCTTTAAATTGACATTGGAGATGCATAATACCCACAGCTCGTGGGTTTTTATTATTGGGTGGCACATACCAATTAATTATTGCAAGTGTCACTCTACATAGCAAAAATAAATAAATCGGTAGGCTATGTCAGAGATGTTAGACTAGTCCAATTTTATAAATATACTTTTAATTTCAAATGAAGCCAGAAAACAGACAAGCATATTTCAAAAAATGCCAAGTATGGGCAGTCCGATGTTTTGATATCTGACCAAACCATAAATTGGTTGGTACTATATATGGGGTATCAAAATGTTTTAGAAACCATAAAAAAATAAATAAAAAATAGATTGATAATTGCAATTCCAAATTGGGGTAAAACTAAAATAAAAAAAAAGAGAATAATCTCATTTCATTATGTCATTGTAATATAATGAAACCACACTTCTAGAAAACCATGTTTGCGGCATTTATATGACCCCAAGTTTTGCACACACACTCTTCATCCTGATAATCAATTCCAAAAAAATGAAATTCAATTTGCACTCTATATATGGTCAAAACAAGTTCCCTTAAGAAAGGGGTGGTTGGGTTGGGTCGTGGTGGTATCATCCCCAAACCCAGTTATCGGTATCCATTCCTCCCGTTGACACCTCCAATTAACACTTTCAAAATGTGACTCCCCAATCTATTGAAAAAACGGGTTACAAAAAAATAAAATTCAATTTACACTCCATATATGGTCAAAATGAATTCCTTCCAACATATTGATTAATGTTGATTTTGAATAATGGTCATGTTGCTCTTTTGACTGGATTAAGTCTCTTACTGGGTTGGTGCTTAGTACGAGTCTTTTAATATTAATAAAGAGCATAAATATTTAAAGAAAAAATGTATATACAATGCTCCTACGAGAGCGCACTATACATTTACTCCCTCTTGTCAAAAACCTACATAGGTCATATTTTTGTTCTTAAATTTAAAAAACTGAGAACTCACTTGAATGTTATTAAAAGTAAAAATAGATTTTGAGTTCTTCAGTTCTCGAATATCACCCTCTCTCTTTTGAGACGCTATTTTCAAGATATTATTTTTGCCTCAAAATTTTTAGACCAATCCTGATTTACTATAGATATTTTGGTTTGCTCATATATTTTAATTTTTAATTCTTAGTCTTGTTAGCTATGATCTAAACTTTAATTTTCACCTAGTTAAGATTAATAGGAAGAAAGAGAGGAGAAAGGAAAAGCAAGAGAGAAGCAATGAAAGAAACTCGAGAGAAAATTTTAAACAACCTTTCCCTCCTCTTCCTTCATAACATTTTCGCCAAGAGGAACTTTAAAAAAGAAAAAGGAGAGAGGGAATCATTATCATTATCATCATCATCATTATAATTTTGAGAGAAAATTTTAAACAACCTATCCTTCCTCTTTCGTAACATTCTCGTCAAGAGGAACTTTCAAAAAAAAAAAACAAAAAAAGAATCATTATCATTATCATCATCAGAATTTTTATCCAACTAATTAAAATCGACTGTACAAAACTTGATCTACCTTACTAACTAATTAAAATCGTCTACCCAAAACTTGATCCACCTTTCCACTCTATTAATGATTAAGGCAAAGAAATACAATAAAGTAAACGTAAAAGTAGAGAGAGGAATGTAACATATACTGAAGGTGGAGAGAGAGTAAAGTAGAGAGAAAAAAAAGAAAAAGAAAAAGAAAAAAAAACAAGAGAGAAAATCCATTCCTTCTCGTGCTTCGTGATATCCCCCCTCGTGGTGCCTGTCCCCCATCACCCCACACTCACTTTCTCTCTCTTCCTCAATTGTCATCTCTCATACAGACTCTCTCTAGATGTGGCCCCAAACGCCCTTTCTACACGCGCAATGCACCATGTCTGTGAAAACGTACAATCCGCATGCCATCACCAATGATTGAAACAAACGGACGACCCAAAACCAACAAAAATTCCGCCCAACAAATCCTAACCGTCCATCCCATAGAATAGAACCCACCTCTACCTCCTCCCCTTTTCTCAGTATAATGAAGTGTCATGACAAAGATAGTGGCAACCGTAAACAATCACATATCAGATTCGTCCAAAAGGGTCCCATTTCTTTTTACTTTCAAACATGACACATAATATGAAAATAATTGATTAAAAAAATCCAAATCCAAATCCAAATCCGAATCCGAATCCGAATCCTACTCAACTCGCCAACTGCCTCCCTGAACAATATTATCCGGTATCCATCATTTTTAAAGCTTGGAAATTCAATTCTTCTGATTTCATTGTCAAGGTCAAAATGATGGATTTAAGGTTTCTGACGCCATATTTGCAGTTTTCATTGATAAAATAAGTAAAACCACAATGAATTTTAAGTGGACACCTGATTTTTTTCAACTCGAGCTATTCCAAATCCGTTAGATTGTATTGTACAGAAATATATTTTGTCGAGTTTGATAGCAAAAATCAGACTTGGAAATACAAATAAGTAATGATAAAGAATTTATAAAGAAGAAATCCTCGGGAGTAACAGATACACGGCATGTAAAATAAACTTCTCAAAAACCTATGTGTAGTAAACTATGAATTCATATTCATCACGGCACTTCTTTGCTTCGTATAAGAACCCCATCATCTAGAAGCAGCAGGCCTTTTTGACTCTCTCTCTCATAGCTAAGCTAACGGTCTCTGTATTTCTAGAGAGAGAGAGGGTGCACCAATGGTTTGCCATAACTGCTCCCCATTTTTCTAGAGAGAGAGAGAGAGTAGGGGCCCACGGTAAAACTCTCATTTCCAAAGACCTGTGGGCGAAAGCCCATTTCTCCATTTTTTAGAGGGAGAGCAGGCCAAAGTAAGTTTCTTTTTACCCAAGAAATGAGACCAAAATCTCTCATCTCCCCATCTTCTAGAGAGAGAATTGGGCATAAGAATTTCATTTCCTAACGATGGGGACCTTACTAGGGAGCCAATTCCCAGAGTTTCTCTCTCTAAAATCACCCTCATCCACCAAAACGAGCTTGACCGCACCTAGCTCAGCCATTTCTTTTAGCTCACCAAATGCGGGCTCGAGCACACGGTCCACCCACTCGATGAACTTCTCGAACCCACCTTCTCCACTATACCAAACCCCACCAACGACTTGCCCCAAGGCCTCTTCATTAGCCTCTAACCAACCTCCATTAACGCTCTTAATCCTCACTATCTCCCCCTTGACCCTCTCAACAACCCCTTCAAAGTCCACTTCTTTGAAAACCACTGTCTCGTCCACTAATTCAGGGAACTCCTTGATGAAACCCTGCCCCAAAAACTCGCTGGAAAGCCCAGATCGGGCATAAAAGTTGTTGGAAAATACAGGACCACCATGCTCGACAGTGAGATCACTGGAGTCTCCTTCTCCGTGCTCCTCGGCGGACTGGTTCAAATCAATGGCCAGAGTTGGCTCTCTCTTTTGCTTTCTGATCCCTTCTCTCTCAACGTCTTCATTTTCAGGCCTGCGTTTTAACCCGCCCGCAGGCCCGACGACCAGGCCCATCGGCCTGGAGCGTGAGACCAGGCTAGCGAGCCTCTCCTCGGAGAACCTTTTGGAAGCCGCCAGAAACCTTCCAGATTCTATCAAAGAACCTGAAGTTAATATGAATATCACATTCCCCAGTCGAATTTCACGACCATGAGAATCAGGTAATCTTCCGGTCTCAAGAGCACGAAGAAGGCTGTTCCTGACCATAGAATCAGCTAGGTCCACATCTTCAAGCATAACCACTGAGAATGGGTTTCTATGCACTGCCTCAGCAACTCTATCCAGAGCTGTTTTTCTTCGAAATTCTTCAATTGAATCTTGTCTAATTGGCCATGAACCAAACCGAACTATAGTGGGTTGGCTACTGAACACGAGCTCAGATAAGGCAATGGCCATTTTTGATTTGCCAACTCGATCGGGACCAAGGAGCAGGAGCCATGTATCTGAGCGTGGACCAAGCCCACGACGCTTGCCAAACCCAGCCCGACATCGAGCCACAGTTTGAGCAAGGGCTGATGCCGCCTCAGGTTGCCAAGCCACCTTTTGGGTCAGGCCCTTGAGCAATTGCTTGAACGAGTCATGCTCGGTCATGGGCTCATCAGGCTTTTGCGATTGGGTGCACCCACTTGAGTCCTTGAGCCTTTCTAGATGTGGATTCGAGAATGGGCTCGACAATGGGTTCAATAGTGGGTTAAGTAGTGGGTTCAAGGGTTTGAGTCGACCAAGGGCAAGGTCAGTTCGAACTGGGCTCATTGGCGCTGAGATGTTGGGTTCAGGGTTGGGTTTCGACTGGCGCCAAAGGGTGGGGTAAGGGGTGGAAAGGGTTGGCTTTTGGTTGGGGTCCAGAAGAGAGAGATGATCTTTGGGCTTTTCGGCATTTGTGAGATGGAAGTTGGGGTGAAGTTGGCGGCAAGTTTCTTTCCATTTCTTTTGCAGTTCCTCTGTTTTTTGTTTCCAGTCGGATTCTGTGTCTTTGCTCTGCAACAAAGGAAATGGCAGAATTAAAGATCTGCAACAAAGGAAATGGCAGATCTAAAGATCTACGGAAGTATCAAACCCCCACTTTGGCAGCTGTAGTTGAAATTTGTATAAGAAATGGAAGATGCCATATCAGAAATCGAATCCTGATTTGTGCATCTCTCTATTTGAAGTTTATGGCAAAGTTACAGAGTGAAAATCAGAATTGTGGTAGCCTTAATACTAAGTATATACGGAAAATAGCATGATTCAAATTAATCATCAAAAGCAAATTGTGCAGCTCTCTTTCCAGTTGATAACAAATTAGGCAGTGTTCAAATCAATGATAAGCCCTAATTTTTGTGCTCTATCCGAAGTTTCTAGAAAACTGGCAGAATTCTAATAATTGGTGAAACCCACATTTGAACTTTACAGCCAAGAGCGAATCTTAAACCAGAAACTTTGGAACCTCATTGCAAAATGGAATTTCTAAACTACAACCACATGCAGGAACATTTAGAAAACATTCTCACTGACTGAAGCTCATACAAAAATTTAGCAGCTCAATTTGAAGGTAGAGTTGAATCTTAAACTGGAGAGTAGAAAGCTTTCTGCAAGTGAAATTTTTTTAGTACAAACCCCTGAACATCCCCAACAGCTCTAACTTATGGAAACCCAACAAAAACTAAAAAGCAGTAAATGAATGTCAGAAAGGAAAATTAAGAAAACGGCAACAGGTAAGAAGGCCTGGCTACCTGCAAGTGATCGTTCTGTTTGGTGTCAGACTGGGGTTTGGCCATCTGCAACCACTGAGGCAGTTGTTGCCGTGGTGCTTCAGGTTTGGAATTTGGAGAGGGTTTCTCGAATTCTTTGGCCACAAGCTTGGCAAGCTCTTGCTCATAGCCCTCCATACATGAAGGACAACAATTCATTTTTCGAGCATTATCTGTGCTCTCAGCTGGTTTCCTTGAAAGCGTAGTGGTTGACAGTCCCGTCAATGGTTTGAGATGCTCTGATGAGTGCGTGCTTAAAATTGGATTGTTCCCGAGCCTGTATGTAAATTTCCAGCAAAGATTTTGGTTTATTCTTTCAGGAGGGTAACAAACAGTTCAGGTTCCAACTATATATAGTCTGCACTAAAAGCAAGGAAGAGTGAAGAGATAGTAGAGAAACATTCGGAAAAAAAAAAAACAAAGATTTTGGTTTATTCTTTCAGAAGGGTAACAAACAGTTCAGGTTCCAACTATATAGTCTGCACTAAAAGCACAGAAGAGTGAAGAGATAGTAGAGAAACATTTGAAAAAAAAAAAAAGACAATGTAACATCGAACAACAAAATGAGCAATACTAGCTTAAGGATAATGGTGACTTGGTTTGATCCTTCTAGCAATTCTCTGGTACTGTGGTATAGAAGGTTGTGAGACCATTAACAAAAACTGCTTCTCCATAAGGAAAAACATATCTGGGTGACATTTTAATTCCTAATAAAGGAAAATGAATAGAATGGGGAGTTGGCTTAATTTGATTACATAAAAGAACGTGCTTTGGAACTGCCAGGAAAGAACCTTTGTAAAACAAAATAATATCCTTGCCAGAAAAACAGCCACATATCAAGTAAAAAGAAAATAAGAAAACAACACAGAATTTGAATTTACAGGATATAAAAGACATCGATATATCTATGCAATCATAAAATTCAACACAAGAGAGAAGGGATCAAAGTATAAAGCTATATATTAGAGAATTACCCCAATCCATAAATTAGTACATACAAAATATAGGAAAATTACCCAAATCAACAAACATGAAACTAGAGAAACAGGAGTAGCGCAGCATGCACACACACACACACGTGTGTGTGTGTGAGAGAGAGAGAGAGAGAGAGAGAGAGAAAGAGAGAGATAACCTTGGAAAAAGTCCGGGGGCCGGAGTCCTTGCAGCTATGGGCACTGCCTGCAAATCCCAGTCATTTTCCATTGGAGGATGATAAACCTGGCAACGAACGTAAGTCTCACAAGTCGCAGTGCCTATAAGCCACAACCTACCTCCACTTCCATGGCGAGCCAGTAATTGACCCATTTGAGCAACCACTTCTTGAACTGAACCAGAGACCGAGACCCCCACAGGCAACCTTCCTGTTTTCCCCCCTTGTTGCTCAACAAGCCATCTCAAATCACCAAGATTGAGAATAACCCCACCTCCCCCTAATCTTCTCTCTACCAATCCCTCCAATTCTCTAAACTTCACTGTAATTCGACCCTTATCCCAATCTTCTCTACAAACTAAACCCAACTCTTTCTCTACTGAAACAACCTGAACTGATCTTAAAGCCTCTGCCACCTCTCTCCTCTCAATTCTTTGCAAAAGATCTCTCATCACATTTTCTGGTTCATTTTCACTAACAAGAACTGGGTTCCTCTTCTTAACTCTACACATAATCTCCATGAGTTTCTTCACTTCATCTCCCCTTTGCCCACTCTCTTGTTGTTGTTGGTTTTGCTGTTGCTGTAACCTAGGGTTCAAATAAAGGTTACTCCTTTGAGGCCTAGGTTCTCCATCCCCACCTCCATAATGGGGCTGCTGGGTTCTTCCCAGATTTCCTAGAATTGATTGTGAACCCCCAAGTCTGAAACCCAGCCCACCAGATGAGAGAGAAACTGGAGAGAGAGAAACCGAAGTGTTTTGAGATGGGTTTGAGTTGCTCAATGATTGCTCGATCGCTGCTTTCACAGCTGGGCTTGAGAAACGAGCCTCTCTCATCACCCTGCTCACACTTGGGTCATCGAGTATAGATACAATCAACTGCTCGAGCTCCACTTTGACTGCTAACAGTGGTTGTTGTTGTTGTTCAGGACAACCCCTTCTCTGATGAGCTTGGGCTCTTTTTAGGGCAGCCATTAGAGCATTGGAAATCGGGGGTTCAGAACCAGGAGCCAGACCTTGAGCAGCTGGTAATCTCTCCAGTGCAACACTGAAGCAGAGCTCCAGCGCTCGACACTGAAGGGGGTGAGAAGAGCTGGGGTGAGATCGAATACAAGCTTGACGAAGATAACCAGAGGGAGAGGCAAGGAGAGTTGCGGCGACATGAAGAGGGGTGGTTTGGCCATGGCCTCTACGAGAGGCCTCGGTTATGGAGAGGTTGAGTACGCTTGCTGCTTCGGGTGTCAGGGTTTGCTGGATTGTGCTTAAGCCTGCTCTCATGGCTGATGTCCAAAAACCAGAACTGAATCAAGCTCTGTGCAATGAAACAAATCCCTAGAAAGCGTATTTGAAGTCCTTAAGCACGAGAAGAAGCATCAGAGACGTCCAATTGGCCCTCTGGTTTTCTCTTCTTCAATGTTTCTTTCTCATTCATTGAGTTCCTGATTCAATTCAATAGTACTTATCTTTCTTTCTGATAACTGTGTAGATGGCGAAGTTTCAATTCTGCCCTTTGGTGCTTGTTTCTTTCAGAGAATTTCCATGGAAAGCGAAGATCAGGAGACGTGATTTACAGATATTCTGCCTTTTTGCACTTCACAATTGACTGGATTTCTGCTTAGAAATGAATAAGAACAGAGAGAGAGGGAAAGATATTACTTTTCCTGCTCTCTATCAACACTGGCCATCTCCAAATAAAGTTAAACCAGTTCAAATTAGGAAAACTTAAACTCAACGATCTAGGTTCTCCCTTAGTCCGAGCATTCCTTCAAAGAGGAAACAGACATTTTATCCTTCAGAGAGAGAGAAACAAAATTCTTCTTGAATCTCTGTTCCTCGCCAATAAAACCAATTCGAATCGGTAACAAGTAAAGATTGAAGCATGAATATACTTTAATTATCTGGTTCGTATACAGATGAGCACCTCCAAGAGATGAAATCCTCCAGAGAAAGAATGAATCAGAAAGAGTACCACGTTTTCCTCCTTAATTCCTGACTTAGCTCATAGAACCAGTCAATAATGGCGATAACGCAAAAGATCTCCAAGCCTTCTAGTTCAATTCATCTTCCTCTCAAATCAAACGGCTTCTAGTGAGAGAAACTCATACAAAATCTAAAAAATCGAGGAAGTCCAAGCGTCCTGCCACACGAGATAGAGCAGTTTCTCTCTCTAGAACTGCTCTTCTCAAACAACTGACTTCTTCTGAGAAAAAAAAATACAGTACACCGAAGCAGTACACATGAACAACAAATCTCACCTTTTTCTTCAAAAAAAGGAAAAAAGAAAAAAGAAGGGAGCGAAAAATGGTAACTGTCTCTCTCTCTAAGGAGGCGAAATCAAGAGCTTCGAGTTCGAGCGCAAGCCAATTTATGATCGATTTTAAGCTAAAACGAAAAGGAAGGGATCACAGCTCGTCCATCACAAGACGCATTTATTCATCACAACCAGATCACCATGCGTGAAAAGGATCAAAAAATTAATAGAAACCACTCGTTCACATATACTATCAATCCTCTATTTCTCTCTGTAAATTGCCTTTTCTTTCTCCATCTCCACCTCTTTCTCTCTCTAAAAGCTTAAATAGAGTGAGTTTTTATACTATGAACGTTTCCCCCTTACATGAAGGAGCAGTTACAGTGCTTACCTCGTCTGGATGCTCTCTCGAAGTTGCGAGGATTTCTGCACATTGCTTTCATGAAAGCGCCGTCTGCACCTCTCTGACCTCTCTCTCTCTCTACTAAAAAAAGCTTCGCTCTCCCCTAAAAAAGTCACTTTCTCTCTCAAAACAAATCATCTTTTTTCTCACTCTTCCCCATTCTTCCGCTCCAATTTCATCTTAAAAAAAGGAGGTCACTCTCTGTCTCGCCAACAGATCCTTGTTTTCTCGCTCCTCCACCCCCTCTTTCCGTAAATGACGATTTTCTCTCTCTAAAAGCTCCAAGTCATAAAAGAAGCCCCCATTTTCTCAATCTAAAACCCTACTCGTACCCGCAAAGGAAGCTCCCATTTTCTCACTCTATAAACTCCCCAGAAATTGCAATATTTCTCACTCTAAAAAGCTTTTTCAGCTGACCGACTATTGACTCTGCCTTCCCCTTTCATACCAAATTCTTGCTTTTCACACGCAAACGCAAACGCATGGATTTCACCTTTCTTCCCACTCTCTCTCTCTAAAACTTTCCGCTTCTCTCTCTAAAATTCTATTTATTTACACCGCAAAACTTTATCGAACCACCTTTCTTCTCGAAGTCTACGGGTATGTCCGCGCGCATACGGTATAAACATACCACGTAGGAAAAATGACAAAAAAGCCCCGCGCAAATCGGGCGTACTTTTTTCGGCACCGCCTAATAAATAAACCCGACTCCAACGAGCGAGGATTTACTCTCTGACGGCAATTTAGTCATTTTCTTTTTTGACAAATTCCTTTAGGGGTATTCTTGTCATTTTAGAGGTAATAATTGAGATTAAGAATTATTCATTGAGTATATATATTATGTTCTTTTGGGATGATAATTTACTTCTATTCCCTCGGTCAGAAGATTTTATTTGGGATCTAAAATTTTGATGAACTACTTAATAACTATTAGATGATTATTCTCATTAAAAAAATTTATTTTTGAGCTTTTTAACTTTTAGATATCACCGTTTAAAAATTAGATGATCTTTATTCAATCTCGAGATATATTTTTTCAAGTACACATATGCTACAATTTATTAAAAAAAATTAAATTGAGGTCAATTTATGAGTTGAATAAGTTACATTGCAAGAAATTTGAGGTCCTAAATTTTATTCATTGTGAGGCTTATCCGAGGGAGTAAATGGACATTCTACTCCCACGGGAGTAGAATATCTTTAGGTTTAAGAGGCCTTCGAGGGCAATTTAGTCATTTCGTTCTGTTAAATTCGTTTAGGGGTATTTTTTTGTCACTTTAGTGGGGCAGGTGCTAATTCGTCATGTTTTGCTCAAGGGGGTATATTAGAAATTATTTTATATCACTTCGGTCGATTATTTAGAGATTTATTTTAATTTTTTAAAGGGCAAAAGGCGGCGCTCTAGCCGCCACATTAGCGCCAGCAGCCAGTTCGTGGATTAATCGGCGACACTCAATTCCTCGGGAATGAAAATCGGGCGACCGAATTTCGGAGATATTTTTTTTGCGGGCAGATGTAAGCATGATCTACGTGGTTCTTTAGTAACGAACGACTGAGCGGCTACTCAATGGCCAAGTCTCAAAATTTCGGAAACGCCGAAATATTACTGGTATCCACGGAAACTCTCAACGAAAATAAGCAAAAAGTGCAAACCAATGTCATTAGGACGCGGTTTTTATGCGGCCAGCCCGCGTATTGTAAAAATGTAGCAATAAATATATTCTTTCCATATAATTTGAGCCTAATTTTTAGAGGATATATAATATGTAACAATCAAGATCACGGTTATGAAAAAAAAAAAGAAAATGAAAACTAAAAACAATAATTATATTAAAAAAACATTTAGATGGTTAGTTACACTTGTTTTTACAAGGATTATCTATTTGCTTCCATCTTTAAGATGGATGCTTTATACAGACCGTATAACGTATAACGTAGAAATGCAGTCCAGCCCGTATGAAATAATTTTTTATGTTATTATAAAGGGATTATATACTATGAGACCATTAATTTTTATAAATTTCATACGGGCTAGACTGCATTTCTACATATACGATGTAAAACATCCATCTTAAAAATGGATGCAAATAGGTGGTCCATCTAAAATCAATGAAAACAAATAGTCCAAATGTTTTCTTAATAGAATTATTATTTTTGGTTTTTAAGATTTATTTATTTTGTCATATTCATGATCTCTATGCTAGAGATTACATGTCATTAAAAATTAAGTCCAAAAATCTATCTCAAAAATAGATTTTTAAGAGGCACCGCATTTCTACGTGTGTGGCTTGACCTGCATGCTTACCGTATCCTTTATTTTTTGTACAAAGGCGTCACAACTACTTTCAGCCATTGGATGTGAAATCTAATAGCTCAAAGTGCATTACAACATTCAAGAAATTTTATTTTTGACTATGTGCTTAAACAATAATGACACATCCTTAACCACCCTATTTTAAATCTAATAGTCAAGGATGATTGTAATCTTCTTGTATAAAAAATAAATGGTATCATTGTATACATTTCCTATTATATAAGGGAGAAGTTTATACAAGGCGTAAACCTTATAGTATTGAAGTAATGTGCACCTCAAAATCATCTAGAAGGTAGTGTTTCAATATTGAAAAACCTTTTAATTGATCATCTATATGAAAAAAAACAAAATTCCAATCTTCAAAAATTTCAAGTGTTTATAGATTCGCTCTTTCGACAGTATTTTTGAAACTTTAAATTTCATAATAATGGGTGAACATGGATTTTCAAAGCTATCATAGGGTTTCTAACGCTAGAACTAAATCTTTTGGCAAAATTTATAGGTGCACCTTACTTGTAAAGTATATGGCGGGGCACCTTATACAAACCTCACCCACGATCAAATTATACCTAGCTTTTTCAATAATTTAACAATATATACCGCTTTCAAACCAATTCCAACTCATTGTGTGTCACGCCCCAAGAATTTACAATATTAATATTCGTGAGATGTGACGGTCAAAACATATATACATCTCTTGATAGGACAAATTTATAGTGGCGAATTCTTACAAAGTAACAAAAGAAAGTTTAAGCACAACTACAATATCTTCTAGAGTTGATCCTAACGATCACTCAAAATGAAACCGCAGTTATCCTGAAAAAAAATGTTTACCATAATTTGATGAGTTTGGCTACTTAGTAAGTGATCATCATAATCCTAAAAATAATCATGGTTGAAATATATCAATATTTTCAAAAAGGAGATCTATTAATAGAAATGCATTAACAGTTTCACTTTCAAAAATACATAATTAAGTATAATCCGAATAGTTGGAATGCATATAACATTTTAACGGCAGTGCATAATTCAAAGGATTTCATAAATTACCCTACTGGTGTCCCAGGTAGGTCACCTATATACCCCATCAATGTCCTGATGGGTCCACTTAATCCCTATCGGCCTCCCAGATAGGTCCACTTAATCCCTGTAGGTCGATTTATACTTCACTGGCGTACCGAATGAGTCCACTTAATCCCTACCGGCGTATCAGATAGGTCCACTTATACCTCATCGGCGAACTGGATGAGTTCACTTGCATACTTAAAGTATTTCTAAATTTCTTTAAACATTCTAAAGCAGCAATATCATGTACCCAACATATGACTGAAATTATTAATATGAATTTCACTGAAACCATTAATAACAATCACTTTCAATAACAGTTCAAAAATAACCAGTCAAATATTGTTAGATTTAGAAAGGTAGCAGTTCGTAAAGACATTCTAGCATAATTGCCAATCTAATATGTATAGAAATACTCTTATAGAAATTCAAGAATACGGAATTATCACAATTTATGGGATGTCAATTCGCAAATAAACATTTCACAGACAATGCTATAATCAATTGTAAAAATATCAGTTTTCAAATAATAAGGCAGTCATTTGCACATAAAATTTACAATGTCTAAATCTTCAAAAACAGTAGAAAGAAATCTCACAATTTTACTAAAAGCAGAAATATCACATTTATTTCTAATAATTTTTCAGTATCTAAACTTTTTTAACAATAGACAAGAAAAATAAATAAATTTATTTCTAAGAATTTACAGCATTTAAAATTTCTAACATAGGTAAAATATCTCAATTTTATTAAAAAGATTATTTTTCAAAATAATGAGGTCGTTTGCGCATAAATTTTATCGCTCCTAAAATTCATGATAATAAGCGGAAGTAATTTTTTCATTTCATTTTTAAAAAAAACGGATTATTTTTTCAAGATAATGAAGTCACTTACTTAAAATATTTGAGAGGGAGCTTCCGATAAATATTCGGCTAAAGAAAGAAAGAGCTCACTGCGGTTCAACTTGAAAGAGAAAGATCTCAAAAATTTTCTAGGGTGGGATTCCTCGCCTCTCCTATTTAAATTCTTAAGATACTTTATTATATTTATTTTATTAAGTTTACACCTCATACATGAGGTTGTAACAATTATACTTACACATAAACCGTTTAAAGCCCAACGTCCACTTAAAGCAGTC